AGGTCAGTGACTCCACCGCAGTCGCGCGACCGAGGTCATTGACCCCGCCGCGGTCACGCGACCGAGATCAGTGATCTTACGGTAGTATGTATATAATATATATAATATATAATATAAAGTATAACATTATAAATATATAATAAATTATATGTATAATATATATTATAATATATATATAATATATATATTTATAATATATTATTTATATCATATATATTATTTAATGTTATGTAATATACATTACAGTCACATTACCTTAGTCACGTGTTGTTTTTCTACTCTTTCCTGTCATGTGACTTTAATCACGCGTTTTTAATTTTCTCTACTTATACGACGAACTCTGTCTCAAAATCGCTTTTATTATTTACTCTCTCGATCTTACCGATTCGATTCGACTCGATTCTACTCGTTCAACACGAACTCAAGAAACCCAAATGTTCCGAGATGGCTATATACGGAAAAGAGGCAACAATAGATGCGATACATTCGATATTAAAACGTGCACTTCGCGGTACACATGGATATTTTTATATTGGGTGCTTTCCACCAACAGAACACGGTCATAAATTGTGTGACACAGTGTAACACAGTGGGTGTGTTTTGCCGAAGTTAGCGCTACGTAGCGCTACGTAGCGGCTTCATGTAGCAGTTGCAACTGCTGCGTTACTTCTGGACAGTATTCCTACAGGTCGTAATTGTACTTAATTTCCGCTGTCGCATTAAACGACACTTAGATTTAGACAGGCCGTAATTATACTTAATTTCCGCTGTCGAAGTGAACGACAGTTAAGTTTGTTACACTTCTGTGTTCTAGTAAATAGTTTTGGAAATAATTACGAAACATACAGTTTTGATGAGTTACTTGTTAGTTTCACTATTAAATGTACAATTTATTAAACGAGACGTTTTTATGTCCACGGCATGCGGTTCTATTCTGTGCTACGTGCACGTGTCTAAATGGTCACCTTCTTCAGGCGTGTGAGTATATTCGCGAGCGTGGATTTGATTTCTTTTGAAATTTAAAATGATCGGTCTCGTGATGAGAAGATACGAAAGGAGAACAGAAAAGGATAAAAAAAAAACCATTGCAACTTTCCACACAACATAAATGTGATATACAAGAAAAGATGTGATAGTCAAGAAAATAATATTATTTTAGCGAGCAGCATCAGAATTCGTGGAGTGTATCATCTTCTTTTACATCATCATTTGCTGCTTTTAGCTTTATAAATTTTATTTTACTTTCTCTAAAACTACATATATACGTATAAATACAAATTACACAAGAAAACATGTATATTACACAAAGGTGTTTTGCCGGTACACAAATATATACGTCTGAAAAGTTGCAATTCCAAAAAGGATATCTATTACTCTGCTTTATTACAATTCTTTATCAGTGTGTTTTCAATTTTGAAGTTCCATTTTACAATTTTTTGTACATTATAATAGAATACAATAGAGTTTACATATATTACATATAACATACAATATAATA